TCCGTTTCAAAAGTAGCCTGCAGTGCAGACGTATTTTGGGTGGGCAAAAGCTTGTCGATGTTCGTATTGTTGTAGCCGCCATCTTTGATTTCATGAGAGAGGAAGATTGGGGAGAGTAGAAATAGTAACCCTTCGGTAAATCGTATTAGCTAGCAACATCCGATGCTAGATTTTCATTGGCTGTTCAACAACAATAGGACAATTCTGGTGCTTAGTCAGCCAAATTAAGAGCAGTTTAGAACCAATCAGGTTCGAGTATTTTGTTATTGACACAAAAGCAAATTCATCAAAATAAAAAGCGTGTAGCACATGATAAAGACGTCTTAAGCGCGCATTTACCTTACGGTGTAGTAAATGCTTTTTTTCCGTTATCCTACTCCGTGTTTATAGCAGTTATCGTTCCTCAAAAATTCCAGAGGCCTTTTCTTTTTATCAGCTTGTTTGAGTCGTTCAGGTATCATGAATATCAATCGGTCATCATCTTTGCCGTGGTAAAAAAATGCCACTTATAGAACTTTCTTTTTTCTTTTAATTCTTTGTTGATAATCCAGAAGAGCCTGTAAACACAAAAGAAAGAAGCACTGGTTTACCATACTGTGGATTTATTTGCATATGTTATAGGGGAATTGATATTCAGTTGAGGAAGACGGGAGATCGGGTGTTGAGGGGGGGGGAGGTGGTTACTTGCCTACTAGTGATAAGCCCCTTAATGAATGAGGAAGGCCCCGTTTGTATAGAGTTACCCTCCTACAAGAGTCAAGAGATAGTGGTGATACACGAGGTGGGCTTATACTCCGGCGCGCGCGCTAGTCATGTAAAACAACCAGAAGGGAAGAAAAATGAGGTATTTTACACGTGGACACGAATAAAAATAAATTGGGTTGATTGACCTCTTTTGACAAGATATCACACGACAAAAATATTTCAAACTACAAAGGTGCTCGCGTGATTGACATTGAAGGGAAGATTAGGGCCGCGCGATTAGCTGGTACTCAGTTCGACTATCAAATAATAGTGCACTTTATACGTTTGAATTATTGTGTTGTAAGCTTTCATCCTACGTGAGGGTTGTGCCTTGTTCACAAACTGGCCCTGTGCATTAGAATAGTCAGTAACCAGTAAGCTAGAAAGGTTTATATCCATTGAATGTGCTTACCAAAGGGCTGTATCGAAGTATGTGGCCAGTTGGAGAGGGATAGGCACGGACGATTCACTCTAGCAGTGTCACGAGTACACGATCAAAACTGCTGCAGCGTACGTGAGCACGCTGAAAGGTACCAAGGCACTTGTTCGCCGATATATCCACTGGGTGTAGGACAGTAGCTTCCAGAGAGTTCATCTGGATGACACCAGTAACCTATATTTGAAAAAGACATGATATCAGAGGTGACTGCTGACATAAGAGATCGCTGCCCTGAACGTCAGAGTTTACTTAGTTTGCTCCGATTCCTGCCACTTGAGCCACACAGTTGCTAACACAATACTCATTGTCGGACGTCACCAGTAGCCTGTGTACAACCGCCCCTCCCCTAAAACAATATCAGGGAGAGAGGCATCCATCCCTTTTTTTAGGGGAGGGAGCGGCAGTACTTAGGCTAATCACCAGGGGTCAGTTACCCTGTGAGCAGAGGTTTCTCTGATGCATGACTTTTAGCGTTTACGATAAGCCAAGCGAACGACTTCGTAAACGGTAAAAGCCATGCAAGATAGAAACCTCTGCTCGCAGGGTAGGAGTCAGTTGACTGTTGATTGAAAAGGTGGATGGCACTATCCACTGGATAGAACCCTATCCCGTGGATACCATGGTTGGTTTTCCCCTTCTCACCAAGACAGTGATTTATCCGGGGAAGGTACTCGCCACCTTTTCAACAACCGCGTGGCAAGACAAACGTTTCTTCATATTGCAAATTATCTAAGTTATCTAACTAGCTCGTCCGATGGCTTACTAGCATAAAAATAGTTCTCCTGGTCATATATCAGTAAGTCAAGAACAAAAAACACCATGGGATTTAAACTTCCACACCCACATCTCAGTTTAATTCGTTCTTAGAAAATGAACCCTAAATGCCACCATTCGCAAGGATATCATCGACTTTAGACTAAATTTGAATGTCTAGATTTCTTGGTTTTGATATCAAAATACTGCGTAACTGACGGTCGAATTTTTCTTGTCTTATTCGAACACCTTCCGCAAGGAATATTTAAATGACTAATTGCGCACTCGGTGACTGGGTAAGACTATGACGTCACTACAGGCATTACCCCAAGCAAAGCTTCAAAGTCTCAGCCAACCTCGTTGACAGGGTCCTCCCGTCCCTACCGAGCGAGAGAGGGACGGTTAGGAGAGAACCCTGGGAACGAGGTTTGTTGTCTGATATTACGCCATCTAAGGTTGACAAAACAACAACAACAGCAAAACAAAAATAAAATGTGCGAAATCCTTTTCAAAGAAAATTTTTTAAGTAAAACGCTGAAGCTTTGCGGTGGGTAAGGCCTGAAGTGAAGTCATTAGACCCAACTCCGAGCGCGCAGTCAGCCCCGCAGGGCTGGGATGTGGCTCATGGGCAACTTACGAGCAAAGTTTTTGGCGATAACGCGTCCGATAATGACTAAAAAACCCAAGCGCTTGATAAAAGATAACAAAAGAATAGTGAGATATACAATGGAATCTGTATCATGTGAGTACCTCAGGAATCCTAACTAGAAAACTCATAGAAGTTCAATACAAACAAATAAGAGAAAACGTTTGGGGATAAATGAGGATGATGTGCACCTAACACAGGTTTTATCGTAGACACAGGTAAAGTTAGAAAACAAAACGAATAAACCTATTCGTGATTTATGACTAGTAGGTTTACGACCATGGGTAGCAATAAGATCCCCTTACCTCTCTAATCGATACGGAGAAGAATTCCAGTCTTTCCTTCTCTTATCTGCACCTTTGAATCACTTGACCAGTGTATAAACGCTTGTACTGTGATAGTGTGCTAAGATCAACTAAATTACCACACGTTAGACTATAATGGGGTTACATTTTCATTAGAGTTACTTGCATGGGGTCGCAGATTTTCGGGATTTGGGGGATCAGAAAATTCAGGTAGGTAGGAATTTAAAAATGGGAAGATTTTTACCTCGTTAAGTTTAATCAATGTGTCAATTCCTTTCAGGATGACCTAGTTTAAAGGCTTTACAGGTAGATGCATAAACAGAAAGTTACTGAGTTGGGATCGCGAAAATTGCATTAGGGGGACCTTACGATCCGACAACGGTGACGCCCATAAAAAAGTCGCTGAAAAATAGACTTCGCATCCATTCATTTTTTTCGCGATTATTCCAAGGGACCCAGTTACTTAAAAAAGGGAATTTGGGTTGGAGCTGAAGAGGAGGGACCGCGCCCAAGTTCTGACAGAGATGGTAGAATTTATCTCCTTGCCGTTCCCGTTCCCAAGTAAACTTAAAACTTGGTCATTTCTCGTCCTAGTTATGCAGGGATGGCAAAGAAATGTACAAAAAAGCGTGACGCACGTGCAGAATTGTTGTTTTGCTCATTAAACCTATTGCTTTTTTGATGTTCCCGTTGCTGTCGCCGTCCTAGTCTCGTAAGGTCCCTATTTTCCCAAAGGTGACTAAGATGGGGTCCTCTATTAGGCTATGATGGGTTAGGGGTCCTGAGAACCCAGCGGCACATACCCAGTAAAAATTAACCCAAGTAACCCCCCAGGAGTATAAGAATCATTAAGAGAATTCTGAACAGAAATAATTTGACTTCAAAGAACACCCAGACTTTCTACTTTCATGTCTGTCTGGCACAGTTTTAAGTGATCGAAACATTATACTTAGCTTGTGGTTACGATGAGGATATTCATGTTCAAAGTCGGAAACGACCAATAATGAAAGAGGTCATAAGAAGTGTACTTAACAAGGATCTGCCTAGGCTAGTGATTGGGGCCGAATAAGGCACCACACCCATCTGATGAGCCTGATGCAGTTGATGGACACATAGGTTAAGATCTCAGTACTTTGTGCGCATAAAGTTTTCATAGACAGGCAAATCACAAGGGGATATTTACAGAAAGGAGCCCAAAAGTGTGACCCCTTTTGACTTTGATCCAATCAGAAGCCAGCTGGAAACTGTCCTCGACCTCTAATTGGTTTATGTCTGCATGAAAGAATGTAAGTGAGGTCATACTTCTAGGCTCCTTGATGTAAATTCTGTTCGTACTTTCTACTAGTGAGAGGGAGCCTTTAAATAAGAAACAACATTGGATAGTGGAAAGAAGGGTAGGTAAAGAAAAAGCAGTCCTCTTATGGAGTATAGAGTGCAAGTTTTGTGGAACAATAGTTTTGACCAACGACCAGTACTGTGTGTCAGATAATAGTCAAATGTGTTTTAAATTACGTAACGCTAGTTGCTTATTTAACGTCACTGCGCGACATTTACTTACAGGTTGCATAGATAATAAAGATCACGTACTGATTTAAGGGACACACAGAACAATTTTGGCTAGATTTAGAGCTACGCATTACAATAGGGTTTAGCGAGCCAAGAATTAACCGCAGCATTATTGTATTTCTCTTTTGTCAAAGTATAAGTCATTGATGTATTAAGAGCTCTAGTTTAGAACGGAATAGACCCTGAGAGTGTAACACTGAACGCACTTTGAGAGAGAATAAACACATTTAGTGAAATTGAAAGTTACAGTCCTTGATCGTAAACCAGCGCCGGGAAATATTCCCGGACACTGTGCTCTATGAACGATTACAGGAAGACTAATGCGCTAAACCTTTAAAATCCAGGGTTCCCAGCATATGATGCAAAAATTGAGGATTCCTAGTCACTCAAGAGCAAGAGTAAGGCCCCAGCCCTTGACCACTCCCCAAAGTTCCATCGTCGCACGTTATCTTTAACGCAATACTTAAAGAGTTTGCAGTGGCGGATCCAGGGGAGGGGCCCGGGAGGCCTGCCCCCCTTATTTTTAAGACCGAAAAATTGTTGTTTCAATTTCAAAGCTAAGATCTTTTAAAAGTTAACATAAGAAAATACGTCACATTATTATAAACATAAAAACCATGAAAAATGTACATAGATGTACTATTCACTTTATTACTAAAAAAGCACCGTTTGTCAGTACCCTTCTCTGTATTCAATAATAGTTTGACACTGTTAGTTTTCGACGACAAGTTCACAAATTCGTTGAAATATAGATTTTTGACCGCGCTTGATTTTTAATACGGACAACTGTCTTTTACTTAGCTGCTTTTCTCCTTGGCAATCCAAATCCATATTGTCTTGTCCATAACGTTTCTTTATACATAACTCTGCCACACTGTGGTAAGCAAAGCACATACAGTAATATAAGGAAATGATACTAAAAGCTGTAGAGTGAGAAGTGATGGAGACCTTTTTGAGGACAAGCACGACTACGAGATTTGACTGACAGTTTTTTCGCGTAATGTAAAAAAAACCAAACACCCCGGAATGTTTCATTGTACGTTTTTTTTTTCACCAGAAAAGCTGGCACTCTTGCCTTTATTGAAGGACGTTAAAGGAGCTGTGTCACGAAATTCAGCCAAATTAGGTAATTACAAAATGCCCGTTAAATTAAGAGAAACATAAAAATAACTGCTTAAAACATTAAAGAAAGGTCAAAATAACATAACAGAAACAACAGATGCCACGGATGGGCAAAACTGAAGAAGACTGAAACGGATTGAAATTATGATTTTTGAAAATTGTTCAGCCTAACAGTTTTTCAAAGTTGATTCCTGCTGCTTGCAACTTCAAAAATTATGCTCAGGAGACACATTTTTGTTTGTCTCGGATCTCTGATTTTGTCATTTACATGTAATTTCTTTGCTTACTTTAAGTTCCATAGCGACTGAGGGCGAGTAATTGGCAAAATTAAACAAAATGAACTGGACTACCGTGACACAGCCCCTTTAAGCCCTCTCTCCTGATCACAAAATGATAAAACTTTTAACATTTAATAACTTGTTTTCGTCATTACGACATCCTCGCTAAAACATGCAAAACTAGTAGTAGAATGACGACGGCATCGCGTTTTGCCGCCAAAATGATGCTGATTTACGCGAGAGCACTGCTTAGTATTGAGAAAATCTGTTACCCGAAATTGTTCTCGTCTTAGAATCGAAAGGTCGCTGATATCTGGGAGGAGGGGGAAGGCGTTTCTCTTATACTGGTTTCTAAGCTATGAGGTCATGTTCCACTATTAAGGGTGTGAGCTCTAAGTATCATCGTCATCATCATAATGCTTCAAATACCGTAGAGATCAATACCAGCTCTTTCCAGAGGAATCCCAAACTGACGAGTGAGATTTGTAGTTGCGTAATTATAGGGGTTTGTATGGAGATTATAGCGATCACTAGTTAGAAGCCGAAATAGGTGACAAAAAGGCAGAAGAATTTCTTCCCTTGTCTCCATGTGTATGTTTTGCGGGCTGTTTCAGAGCGATTCCAGCGAATCTTAGTTGCACCGTTATTCTCACTATATAGAGGGAGCAACGGGACAACTAAAGCTCGCAGGAATCGCAACAAGGTAACGAATTCTGCTGCCTATTTATTACCAAGAATCCTCTATTAAGCCCTCCCCTCTCAAATAAGCCCCCTCTCTAGTAAGCACCCCCCTTTTCAGAGGAGAAAAGTTAATAAAAGCTCCTTTTCTATTAAGACCCCCCCTCCCTCCCCCCTCTATCCTTATTCTTCACAAACAAGTAACGTGGACTGACAGGTTATGGTTTATTCAGTGTGGAAATTCATATTGTTTTTGGTCTTCGGTCGCGTGACCTCTAACTTCATGTGATGAACTTTTTCAACTTTATGCTCTAGTTCTCTGTGGAGAATTGTTACCATTTTCTTATTGTTAGAAAAAGCAGTATGGCGCACGGTAACCACAAGTCCGTCCTCGAGAAACCTTGCTCCCGTTGATGCATTTCGTTAAATTAAATAAGCCCCCCTCTCTTTTAAGCTCCCTCCCCCTCAAAAGTGCTTGAAAAAAATAAGCCCCCCGGGGGGCTTAATAAAGGATTTACCGCACTGTTTTTGAATCCCTTATAGTGGTAACTAGAACCCCTTTACAAGCCCTACATATTTTGATGTTCGACAAAAACAATTCTCATTCCTGTGCTTGGGGTGCTTTTGCTCTGTTCTTACTAACAACTTTCATATCATAGTAGCTGGTTCTTTGTACGTAATAAAAACAGGATAGTAACGTCTCTACTTTAGCAAGTCTTACCGTTTCAGTGTCTTTCTCCATTCTGTTGGCCACTGTGACAATAATTCTGTGAAACAAAATAAACACAATGAAAGTGAGTTATAACCAGTTTCAATCGAGATTTTTGGATTGAAAGCAACTGATGTCGCACTGATTCTATTTACTTGTACTTTCCAAACATTTCCTTCGAAAAAAAAATAGTTGGTAAAATTTGAAAAAAGGATCAAAGCATTTCATCTTTAGCGGTGATCATTTTATTGAATCTCCTGACCTCTTCTCTTGAAGATGTAAGGATATTCAGTGTTAGGGGAAAACTGATGTTGGTCAGTCTTGGCATTTAAAAAGTTTTTTTTCCTCAAGCGACCACCCAAAAATGCCATAATTTTGTGATTGCTTACTGGAGGACACTTCTTTTTCTCAAGCTCGACACCTTTAACTCGGGCACTGACAAGGGAACCGGTTTCCGCAGTGCACGTGTTTCCTTAGCCATGGCGCTTCAGTTATCCACAGTCAACTAGTCCACAATACGTGACAGTTGCACTGAGATAACTGATACGATTTGTAAAGTAAAACATCAATTAGTGCCATAAATGTTTGTAAAAACAGTCGTTTCAGCGTATAACACTTCTTCACTGTGAATAAGAGGTAAGAGGTGAGAATGAGAGGTGATCCTTCTTAGACATTTGAGGTTCAATGAGAATGTTGTGGTTGGCGTTGCTTATGGAGGTTTCTTACTTACCATAAGTAAGTGGTTGCTCAGATTCCTCCTCGTCCACCTCTTCTTCTTCAACTTCGTCTTCCTGTTCCTCTTCGGCCTCATTATTATCATCATCATCATCGTCGTCATCTTCATCATCATCCTCATCACCATCACCACCACCACAACCATCATCATCAGCAGCATCATTGTCCCCGTCATCATCATCATCATCATCCATCTCATCATCAACTTCATCAACGTCATTGTCCCCTCTAACATTTTTCACCACGTGACCATTACCAGCTCTCTCTCTGTTGCAGGACTCTAATCCTTCTTTTGCACGACCATTTTTGGTAGACTTACAGTTAGTCACATTCTCTGTTTTTGACTCTGTCAAATTCCCGTCCACAGCAGGCCTAATGACTGCTTTGTTGGTTGAGAGGATCATGTCCTTTTTAAGAATCCCACTTTCTGCAAGACCGTTTACTGAGCCATTCTCACTATCATTTTTACTCAGAGAATTATTTTCTGAAACTACGTCGAGGTTGCAATCTCCAGACGCAAGCAGTTCCTTTCTAGACTTCTTATTTTCCTCTGATTTCTCATCATCCACTCTCCTTCTCTTTTTCTTGTTCTTATTTTCGGAATTAAAAATAAGTTCCAATATTCTCCAACTAGAGTCCTTCCTGCTGTCCTCGTCCTGTTGATCCAAGACCTGCCTGATGTCATCAAATTCGTTGCTCCTTTCAATTTGCAATTGCTCCTCTAGAAGCTTCTTGAACTGAACTTCAGACAAATGTAAGATCTGCAAACACATTTGAAGAAAGTTAGGTAATGATTCAGCCAGAATCCAGAAGTAATCAAGAAAAATATTCCGGTACATGGATGGACTGACCAAACAGTAAAGTCAGTTGATCAATAGAACAGCTACATTAAAAAACGTTCCTCCCTAACCTGCGATCAGGCGTTCTTTTCTTGAGTGCGTGGAAAGAGCGCGAAAGTCCCCTTCTCCCCCGTTTCCTTTTAGGAGGAGACCATGTGGATCAATTTAGGTTTCTGGGAAACTACCCCTCCCCTAAGCCAACATTTTGCTCTAAGAGAGAAGTAAGTGTTAATGTTGGATTAGGGGAGGGGTAGGTCGGCAGTTTCCCTGATACCTAAATTGACCCGACCTTTTTTGCATGGAGTCCTTCGATCGAGTAACTGACTTCACTGGTTCACTGGCTGACAGAAATAAACGCAGCCAAAACTGGTCAAAAGGTTCATCCACGGACTGACTTACTGGCTACAGCTGACTAACGAGCAAAGAATGAGATTATTCAATCCCTTCTCCTATGAAAAAAAAGTGGCCATGTTTATTTTCTTCATTGTTCAAAGCATCCCGAAGGAAAGGGCCGAACGATGATGATGATTTAGCTACGTTGTAGCTGGCTGGCTGACTGGCAGATTGACCATCTGAGTGATTCAATGATGAGAGGTTCTGTTTCAAAAGAAACTGTGGTACGAGGTTGGTGGCGTGTAAAACATCAATGTTTTTTTGAACTCAGTTGATTAAGGGTGAATTTATTAACGTAAAAAGATTCGAAGGCTGACAATTGGAGCGCTAGTTTTTCGTTTCAGGGAATCCACTGAGGAGTTGCGATCCACTTGTGGGTTGTGCTAGGTTTATATAATTATTGAACACTGGAGATGTTCTTCCATTTGACATATGCGCATAAGTGAACGTTTTTTCCATGGAACGTTAAAAAAAATTTACGTGTTCACTATGTAATACAATGTTAGTCTACACCTTACTCGTCCTCAGATGTCTTCAAAACGCGCGTGATGCAAGAACGCAAAGTGGTGAGAAAGCAATGGGTGATGGGGAGGGAAAGATGATGAGAAGACCCTGCCAGTATGCTTTCCTTCTACCAATCAAACTTCAAGCTCTCGCACCACGTGCATTTAAAAGAAAACTAGGGTCGAGTCAGAGTCAACACTAACACTGACATTTCTTACCCTCAAAGTAGCATACAAATCTGGACCAAACTGAGAACAACCCTCTCTTCCGAAAAGGAAAATGTCATCCTCTGATGCCACGCCCTAAAAATGAAAACGCAAGGAGAGACAAGGCTCATTTACAAGTATATCAAGGGAAAGAAAATCGCCTATTTTAATGTAAATAAGGAGGGGGAAATTGCATATTTTATATCAAACCAAAAATAGATAAATAATTGTCAGTCAAACAAAAGAGAAACAAAACGAATAGAAGTTAGCATTTTTCCATCCCAAGAGGACTGCGGAAAATAGAGCCTCCATGTTTCCACTCATGCAATTGATGTACAATGAAGTAAAATGTACTATTTGGCTGTTCTGCAAAATATTTAGCCTTGCAATTCTCTCTCTACCTACCTTCCTCTTCCCCCACCCCCCTTCTCCACCTGCAATCAAGACATTTCCAGTCATGAAGTTTGCTTTAAGATCGATGTCTCCTACTGCTGAGATTTGCTCCCTTGTCGCTTTAAAATAATCTAAGACCCTTGTCTATTACATTATTAAAATATCAGTATAATGAGTATTGCAATATGCATGCTAACCATTTCCTCCAGAAATTTAAACTTGGCATCCACAAATCTTGTTTCCTTTGGGGGCTGGCATGATTTCATTACCTCACAAAATGAACTGATAGGAACCTCAACCTTTTTTAGAGAACGGAAAAACAACAGTCAGTCAATAACATTCAAAACACATAATCATAAAATATGCAAACAGATCTTTACAGTCTACTTGTTGGAATGCAGCAGGCATCTTTCCATCCAAATTAAAGCAAGTGCAAGCGAAAGTTATTCCTGTCTACAAAAGTGATGATGAAACTGAACCCAGACAATTATGTTGAATCGCCAATTCTGCTTCAAAAAATAGCTAACTATCGAGCAAATATAGAGTTTAATTTATAAAGTATCATATCTTAATTTAGTGTTGGAGTTAATTTTACGAGTTTCAAGTAGTTAATTTTGTAAATGTTATTAATTTATGTTTAGACTTTATTTCACTTATTTATATATATCTGGTTATTTATTTATTTATTCATCTATTTATTTTTAATTTATTACTGACTGCTGTACCTATTATCTCCGCCCGCCTAGCACCTGCTATTTACGGGCGGAAATGGACTTTATGTAAATGTAGATTATTAATAATAATAAAGTGTGTAATTTAAAAAAAATGCATATCCAAGGAAAAAAGCTTCCCTGTTCAGTGGACTGTCTCTGAAGGTTGCTTTTTAAGTTATCTTTTACTGTTCAGATTGCATACTCTGGCACCATATGTCTTTTTCTTGTTAAGACAGCAGAATAGTGTACTTAAAACAAAAGGTTTTTAAAAAACTTCTCTACAAACTTGCATTGCAAAGACAACCGTTAACCACCAAAATAATAGGTACCAAGGGTCATGTTTGCTGGGGGGGGGAGGGGGCGGGGCAATTTAAGAATTTTGGGGTGTGGATGTGCCACTGATATCCTGGAACCTTATGCCTATACTAGAGCTAGTTCAGCTGAACTTTACTATCCTATGCTAGACTAAACTCCCCAAATCCCCCCCTATCCTAGAGTAGCTGTTTTCCAGAAACTACTGAGGTCACTACCACAGTCCAGCCAAAACAAAACCGATTTGACTTTTTATACTTTTGAGTGGTAATTCCTGGTTTCCCTAGTCTAGACTTGACCCCAACTCCCTGATTTATATGCCCTATCCCAGAGTAAACTGTTTGAAAACCATACCCATATAATATGGCAGTACAGTGAAACCTGCAAACATGCCCGGGGTGGGGTAATAATATTATTATGATAAATACATTAGCAACTGAATATATTTTTGTGTTATTATCACCATACCATATCATAAGGATTTGGTAATTCATCTTCCACAAAACCATAGGACTGAAGCAAGTGGCAGTTTGCAAGTTTGCCATATGTGTTAAAAATCTCTTGCCCCTAAAAGGAATGAAAGGTGATTTAGGAAATTACAGTGTAAGTGATCAGAACATGTACGGTAGATTGGCATTTTTCCTTCAGTTCAAATTATATTCTTCAAGTCAATTTGACATAATGCCGTTTTCAATAGTACTGTAGTCAGTCTCTAATACAGCCCTCTCTTTCCCATGCTATCACTAGATGTCTGTTTAATTGAGGTGTTCACCTTATAGAAGTGTCTGTTGAGAGAGAGTCAACTGTATCCTTTAATTTTTATAACCCCACTTTAAATAAATCACTAATATCAAGAATTAAACACTATACCTTAAAAATATTTTGTGTTGCAACCATAGATAATGTTTTAGCACCAAACTCTAAGTGTGCATTATTTTTTGTTATGTGATTGAGTATGTCGGCCATTGGCACCATTGCAGGAGCTGCATCATTAGTGTCATCACCATCATCATCATCATCGCCGTCATCATCATCATTATCATTGGCTGGTTTCTGTTCTGTGAAGCTGTATGCCATTACAAAGGCTGCCATGTGCTTATAAAAATCAATAGTGTGGCAGGATTCACTATTAAAGGACAACACATTATTAATAAATTGAAATAAGTACTTTGATGTTACTAGATTACTATTACCAAGAATTTAGGAGTTTGATCTGGTAGAGTTTAGTTTAGCTAATTGTATTGTATGGCTCAATTTGTAAACCTGTCTTTGTCTTAGAGATAAGTTGTGGAGTTCCACAGGGTTCAATTTTAAGCCCTTTGTTGTTTTTAATATATATCAATGATCTCCCTGGATGTCTTCTCCATACCAAAGCACACACATGTATGCCGATGATACCACGATATATGCGTCCTCTGTATCCACTGCTGAACTATATGCCAAGGTAAATAATGACCTAACTCGTGTTAGGGACTGGCCTCTTGCATATAAGTCAAGCTTAAATGTTACTAAAACGGAGTATATGACTGTTCTTAACAACTACCTTCAAATTATCTAACTTAGGAAGAGACTTTCCAATTAAGATTAGCAACAATCATGTTAAACGAGTCCAAACAACAAAATATTTAGGAATTCACTTAGATGAAAATCTTAAATGCAACGAGCATGTTGACAAACTTTGTTCAAAAGTCAATCGATCCATCAGTGGTCTAAAACAGGCAAGTGATTATGTACCATTAGATGTTCTAAATACTATTATTTTACAAATCTCTTATCCAGCCTGTGTTCGACTACTGCGACGTTGTTTGGGACAATTTAGACCAGGGACTTGCCACTAGGATCCAGAAATTACAAAATCGTGTTGCATGCATAATATCTCTTCAAGGTTATGACGTTCGTTCAGCACAAATACGAAAACTGGGAAGAGCTTGCCTCAAGGCATCAAAGGCACTTAAGTCTATTAATGTATGATACAGTGAATGGAAATGTACCTAGTTACTTAAGCGATCTTTTCTCGAATGTCTGTGAGAACAACCCTTACAAGTCTATGCTAAGAAATAAGGAATATATAATGTTGTACTGGACCACATTCCAAAAACAGAATATTATAAAGGGTCTTTCTCATACAGAGGAGGAATGCTGTGGAATTCATTACCAAATGACATAAAAGCGTCCGAATCTAAAGCTATCTTTAAAAGAAAACTGGCTAGTAGGCAGGCAAACTGTTGACTACATTTTACTGTATTTTATTATTTGTACATATTTTTAGTGTAGTTGTACAGTATTTACTTCTGTTTCTATACGGCTTTCATGTAAAGAAGTTATGTAACTTATGAAATTACCGTATTCAAATAAAAGTGAATCAATCAATCAATCAACACATGTATGGTCTTCCCATTTGGCAAGGTTCAATTTCAACTATTTCTTTAAACTTACCTAAAATATTGCTTGTGCTTTTTAATGAACGGCAATACAATAGTATTGTACTCCTCTTCAATGCGATGTATATCAGATTCAACATCATCCTCTATCCCAGTCCCATCAAGTTCTCTCTGGCGCTCCTCCTCTCCCCAGAACATGGGTTGATCAAGAACAGTAACGTCAGGAACAAGATTCAGATATGGCTTCCAGTGAGATGTAGGATTTGTGTATTCATACATGAGGGCAAGAAGAAGAGGAGCCCAGCCAGATCTAGACAGTAATAGTATAATAATATATCAGTTAACTGGCAGAAAATTTGGGGGGCATGATGTTTAGGAGCTGTTAATTATATTGTATCAATAGTCTATTTTTGGTCACCTCAATCGGCAAACTGAATGATACATCATCATCATCATCATTATCATTAATCAGTCAATCCAGGGGTGGATCCAGGGAGCACTTAACTTTTGTATGGAAAACCCGGTAACTTCGGGGAGAATTCAAATGGAACGGTTCATCCCAGTGGAAATTTTCCGGAAAAAAAAGTAATACCTTTCAAGGTATTACTGTACCTTTTTCCCGTTTTTACTACCTAGACGACCAAATTTTTTTCTACTATTTGTCTGATTAATGAATGCCAGGCTCCCTCTAAGAGGGAAGATGATTTGTTTTAACCCAGGCTCACTCGTTATCTGGTGTTTTGCAAATGGTACAACTCCAACACATTCCTTATTTCAGAAACGTTTTCAAGTCCAGTACCATTGGTCAGAAATTTTTTACCGAAATTTCCCTACAAATGGTAAGTGCTCAGGGTTTTTCTTACGAAGGGCGGCACAACTAAGGAATGGCATAACTGACTGGTGACATGAACAAATTTTAAAAGTGAATACCAGAATACCAGTTGTATTAGAAAGGCACAGGTCATCTCAGGGAGGGGAGAGGTGGTGTGCACCCCAGAAACATACAATGATCCCATATTTGTCTATCCACAACCCTACAACCCTGGTCAAAACTCTTGGGACACTAATGCAACAGTTGAGGCATCCCTCCCCCTCTTCCCCCCCAGTGCAGTGTTGATGTTATGCATTCAAGTTTTAATTCAAGACAATCAACACTGCTTGGGGGAGAGGGGAACAGAAATAACCCCTTATAACAACATCCCCAAGCATTTTTAAGAGGTATAATATGAGTTAATTTAGCAAGGTGCGTTTTTGTGCCTAATTTCCTCAAGTGTCCCAAGACGTTTTGACCAGGGTTATAGGTGACGCCTTGAGTTATGGGTAGAAATACTGTCTGGAACACCCTTGGTCAGACCAATTTCTGCAATATCTACCCAAAGCGAGATAATAAGCATCCCTATCACTTTCACGTGGGAAACCCTCTCTCCTCGACTCTTTAGAGGGAGGATGAACACTAAGGAGAATATGAATGTTCATACATCGAACTTATTTTATGGAAATGCTGGGAAGGGAAACGGATAGTGTATATTGGTTTAATGCTAATCAAAGAATATCTGGATTAATCTGTTTAGTTACATAGTTCACCAAAACGTTAAAACATGGAAGGCACAATTATTAAGAGTTTACCCCCTCTCTGAAATAAGCTGATCTTCATTTGTTAAAGTTTCCAGAATTTCTGAGATAGACGAAGTGTTGGGTTGCAACAGAAGTGATCGAGGAATTTCAAATAGACATTCTTCTTTCTCTATGTTATCGGTCGCTACCATGCCATAACGGTGACACGATCCTTGAAGTCCAATTCTCACCTTAAAAAAAAAGTGATTCATTAATCGAAGGCACAAAATGTTAGAACGTTTTTCGATTTTAAAGATTAGGAAGTACTAAAAGTAAGATGACAATTTCCCTTCTTCCTACAAACCTTATTGCTTAGTATTAAGCCATTCGTACCGCACCACGATAAGAAATCGCTCAAAATTTTGTCGTCTAATTCTGGTACTCCGTCCGCCATTTTGTAAACAAAATCCACGTGCAAAAGGAAGGAAGACTGGGACGGGGGTTTTATTTTGTCTGTCCGGGATTCTGTCCGGGTGGCCCTGAGAAGGCACTTTTAAAGTAAATCTTTCAAACTAATTGTGACAATTGTTAGTAATAATAGAAGCTGATTTTCTATAAAATATTTTATAGAATTTTTGTCGCATATTTTAGGCTGAAATTCCTTTTTGTCCTTCAGAATCGAAGACAAAGCAAACCATGTTATCAGTATACCCCGGAAAGACATTATTTTTGTCTTCAGTCAATCCAACATGGCGGACAAAACACTGCACAAGTGGTGATGTCGCTTCTTGGTCTTGTTCCAGATTACGGAAGCGATTCTAGTAGTTCCTCTGAATCTGATGAAGGTGAAAGAAATTCAGACGGATTTAAAAAAGATCTGGGTGGCAAAGATGAGCAAAAGGATTCTCAAAATGCTCAAATCCCACTTCCTTTGCCAACACTGGATTTTGGCAAAAATTCAGAAACAACCACGAAAGAACTAAATCAGCGAGCCTACAAGGCGTCTTCAGTCTTTTTCAACCCATTTTTAGCTGAAGAGAAAAAGAAACTTTCTGTTCTGGAGAAACACGTGCAACTTTCAGAGAGCAAGCCAGCGGAAGAGAACAATCGCAAGAAACAAATTTGTTTCAAATTTCAAAAAGGTCGTTGTAGACTTGGAGATAAATGTAGATTTTCCCATGGTATAGCGACAGGATCTTCGAATATTAACCCTGATCATGAAAAGCCAAAAGAACCTAGTTTAGCACCAAGCTTCTCTAACGCAGCATCGAGTTATGAGCCAGATGAGGGTGAAGAAAGCTGGGAACAAAAAAAGAAGAAGAAACGAAAGTCAGGAGTAACTGACTCTCTTGTTCCACCAAAGCGAGCTATGGAAGCTTACGACAAGCAGCGGCTTAATGATAAACCCTGGACACAATAGCGGATTGTTTTTACTTTGATTTTGTTGAGAGTGGCCGTTGAGCTTGGTGCAGAGCATTTATTGTAGACTTTGGCCTCAAGTCCCCTAAGGACATAAATAAGGGTAGACTAAACTTATACTAATTCACCATTTTCACAAAGACCATAATGCACCTTTGTTTATCTTCCAGAATTTTGCATAACCGTTGTTTCCAGTTTCTCCCGGGTATTACAGTTGTCCCAAGAGCAATCAAAGACAATTGTTAAGCAAAATTTTGGGGGATAAACAAGGTGCGTTATACAGTCCGGAATATCCCTAAATTTAAGGACAGGGCAAACTGGTCACGCGACACTTTTCAACCAATGAGAAGGCGCGCTTGTGTTTATCAACAAACAAATCAAAACATTGCCCCAGTGATCAAAAATTTTCAAAACAACGGACGGAGTCGAACAGAATCAGTCATCGTTTCGAGGTTGTCAGGCATATTGTTAAGACTTTTCATGAGGCATACACAATTTTTTTTTAAGTGGACAGCGTATCGGTAGCCATATTGGAAGTGTCTCGTGAAATATTCAGCACATTTTGTGGCTTATTCTTCTTTTATCTTTTAAACAACGCGATGTATAGTAGAGATTTTGGTCGGTTTTCAAGGTAGGTGAACAAGTATCTATTATTTTTTCGATTCACAGATTTTTTACGAAGTTCTAGATATTTTTCCTTGATTGTCATATCAATTAACTTTTATTATGTTGAATGTGGGGATGGCAGACAACCTAGAATTTTGGTAGACAATTTTTGTATTCCCAGGTCCAAAACACGTACGTTTTCCAC